CAATCTAGGAAATGATGAGCAAATGATGAACCGCATTTCCTCAGGCTCATTCGTCAACTGCTGGTCTAAGAACTCAATCAGCATCAGTCAGTCAAGGCTGAATTCCGCATTTAATTAGTGGTTTGAGGCATCATCCTCTTGTAAATTGACAAACAAATTGCTGCTGATGGATGCCCACTTTCTCGATATTGGACACTCGAACGAGGGAAATTAATTGGGTATGAGAGAGGTCAATAAAAGGTGCACCACGTGCAAGGGAAGGAAAAACATGGATTATGCCGTGATTAAACTCGCATCAAGTCCAAAGTGGATGTAGCAAGTAGCAAATCTATGATGCATTTGGTATGACTTGTTCATCACACAGCCATCCATCCGTTTCCACTGCTGCACAAAACAGGTTGACATTCGAGGTGGTAGTGGCCAAAATTCTATGTAAACCACACAGCTTTATAATATTATTATTTTATAGCTACATGCAAAACATACGTAGCTGAACAACAAGATGAATCACAATTATTGCCAACAATAAATACCAACTGCTACTTCTGCCTGAATTCCCATTCACCTGTCACATTCTTGATTCGGAGTCTCATTCTACCCGCACCAACCAACCAACAATCTCGCATACTTTTGCATACCTCCCTTCTCCGTTGTGAGGCTTTATATTACCATGGTCATAACTTTTCGTAAAATATGTTCTGTCATGGCTCCTGCTCTTTACGATCGCCCTCATCGCCAATTTGGGGGGTGTGGAGCTTTTTTTACCATTTAGCAGGCTCAGAGTAACAGCAGTGAAAGGTTTCTCTGGTCGCCAAAAAGTTTTTTTTTGTGCACACGTATGTACGTACAGGTTAAAAAGACACAACACACACTTGGCCTATGCGTGCCCAGGAGAATGACAGACCTGACATCATCATGAGGGTCGCTTTTTTATATGCATGCTGCTGGTATTGAATAATGAATTAATCACTATATAAGGATGCTCCTCATATTCCCTTCTTTTTTCACATCCAACTTTTAAAGACTAAACTAACTCAACCAGTGCCTGCATGTCCAAGCTTGCAAAACACATTCCCAACAAACTGGCTGAGAGGCACGCAATAAATCTTGGCGATGGGCATAAAAAATATGTTGGTTGAATCAGATTGTATTTCATGAGATGTGTAAGTCCAACGTGGACATGAGCGACTGTCGTTGTTCTGATAACTAATGAGATGCTAATGAGAAACAAATGTTAATCTCACTCTTAAATCACGGAGAGAAATGTTTATGAGCTTGGATTGGAATCCAGGAGAAGGAAAAAAGAGAAGCTTTTAAAGTCTCGTTAAGCCAAAATTTTGTAAAATTCTTAATAATAATAATAATATCAGGTCTCCAACTATTAGGGTTTTTACACACTTTTTTAAAATCCTTATAATAACCATGATTTAATGAGTCTGGTGAAGAATTTGGCACACTGAAGAATTTATGTAATTCGAGAGAATTTTCAAAATTTTGATTTAATCCGTGCCAGTGCATATCTTTTGGGGATAGAATAAACCAAGGTGGACAATAATAAATCAAAACTGTCGTTGAGATTTTCACCATCAATTACAAAATGGCAGAGATTTCAATTAACCTCATGAAAAAGGTTTGGAATTATCAATTAACTTGTTGCCCATCCATGATTTACTCGCTCGCACACCATTTTTCACTTTTATGGTCACTTTATTACAATTTCATAATTCCTAATTATTTTTTACAGCAATCGTCCCAGCCTCGCAGCCCCTACGAATCACCAGGATTTGTCTTCTGTGGCGATAAGATAAGATTTTCTCTCCTCTTTTGAGACGATGAAATATGTCTTGTTCGACTCTGGAGATTTATGGGTCCTCTCTTCCCCGTGGTGGACAAGAAGAGGAGAAGAAGAGGCGTAATTGTCGCATGCATGCAGAGTACGTATGCAAGGAAGGAATATAAATTTCCAGTCTCTGCAATTTGCGTCTGTCAGTGAGAATTGCAGATTTAATTATCAGCAGCGTCAGCTGACCTCACCCAGACAATGTATCAATTCTAATGGGACTTTTTTCCTCCCTGCTGACAAGACGCACAGTTGGAATTTAATGTGATAAGCAACAAGGGACGTGTGACCACGAGGAGGAGTAGTCACCTTAATTTTGATCCCATCACACACACACAACACCAACGAAAACGAGGTGTGTAGTAATGATACGTTCAAATCTTCTTATCAGCACCATATCTGTGTTTCTGATAACATATCTCATCTTCCCCATTCATCAACTGAGGAGATCAACAACAGAAATGAGACGGGGAACACGCTCCACTTACTTGCGTATTGCTTCTCTCAGAGTTTTCTCAATTTGGACATCTCCTGCTTTTGGTTTGCTAGTTGGTCGATGTGGAATTTAGCGGAGGTGGGTTCCCTTTTTGTGCTGGGTGGATTATACAACACACTCAAGAATATTGTACATGCAGCCACAAGAAGGAGCAGATCCGAGAGGAAAGGTCAGCTACGAGAGAGGAGAGGAGGAGAGCGAGCAAAAAATGCCACCTGTCAAACTCCCAGCTTCTCAAGAGGCGATTATTATGATCGTTTATTAATTAGGGTTGGTACAACAGTGTTATGTGCTCCATCAACCACCTGACCTTTTCCTCTGGGATGCATGCGATTATTTACTACGGATGGACGAATCCTGTACTACCGCAAACTTGCCGATTCTGCAAGATCACGCACACACATGACATTTAATGGAACTAATTTCGATGATGAGCATAATTTCATACTTTACTGAAACTAAGGGATTTTTAAGACGTTAAATTATTTGCTAAGTGACAAGTTTGACAAGACTGACGAGCAGCATCACTTCGTCCTGGTTGCAACAATGTATGCAGATGAGTGAGCTGGCCATGCGCAGATGGTACAGATTCGACAATGTGAGGGTCATAATAATATAATGAACCGGAGGGAGTGCGCATAAGTATTTCGAGGGGATGACCTCTCATGATGTTTCAGGATAAACGTGTCACCTCCTCCTCCTCACCAGATAATAGAGTCAGATAATAGCCAAGCAGAGGGCCCATTAGCATTCATTTTTCGAATATTTTGCACCAAGGTGAGCTCAACTAATCGATGTGAGAGCAGTGGAAAATATGTAAATGTGGAGGGAGTAAGAATGACGGAACGCAGGGAACTTAGTGTAATAATAATGGGCAGCATAATTTAATGATTATAATAAAAATGAATAAAATGGTGGCAATATCTCAGTGCACCGTAATTTCCTTAAATCTCATAAATGTGAGGTCAGTGAGGGTGTACCTCCTCGGACTGCTTGACACCAACAATTATCCTGACCGGACTGCCACTGGCATCCAAATATTATTCGCATCTCAAGTGCCACAACCCGTCGTGGTTTTTTCTCCCATCCTGCTCCTGCTGCTCCAAGGAATTTATCCAAGTCTAGTATTTAGTATTATTTTTGCTCCTAAATAACTTGTGTATTCCTCATCAAACTGCCTCGACTTTTTTGACAGGACATGATGCACAGGTTTACGAAAAACCTACAAAACTGGGCACAAAAACTGCCCACCTTCTTCTTTCACATAAATGTGTACCTACCTGCCTGACATGCCTCAAGAAGTTCATCATCATCACATACCATCACATCAGCCAGGGATAATTAGCATCGAGACCAGCACACGAACATTCACGTAATAGCCAAACCATCCCTTCAGATTATCTTGTGAGACCATGAAATGCATACCTAATCGTGGAGATGACCAACCTGAAGAGCGTTCTGTGTGGTCAAGAAAGACGAAAAATACGAGATATTTGTCGACTCGCAATAATACAATAATAATTTCAGCCCAAATTCCAATCCCCTCTCATAAATAAGTCCAACACCACGCACGCCAAATTGGTGAAATGAACAATGTAAAGTGATTTGCATAAGTATTTGGTGCAACAATGCTAAAAACCGGCCGTGCTTTACCGTACGAGCATAAATACGTACGTCCATCCATACGACGAATTCATCCTGTTGCACACAACCAGCAACACGAACCTACAACAGAGTCAAAACTTAAGCAGCTTAATTTGCTCATTGCTTTAATATTGCAATCTTCAAATAACTGATTGTCATCATGTCGTTATGCACACATATTTGTACCATCTGCATACATACATACATCCGCATGCATTCTGATAAAAACGAGCTATTTGTTGTTATTACCACAAGTGACAAAAAAAGATGCAACTGTGTATCTAACAATGTTGTCGTGTAGATGATTTTATGGTGACCAAAGTCCACATAGAAATGCAGCTTGCATTCTCTGGGATGGTGATCATGAGGAAATACTTGTTGGATAAGCAATCATCCTCATAAAGTGAACAAGAAGTGCCCCTTGCAGTGTTGGCAACTGGTCTCACGCCGTGTGAGACCAACATGGCAATAGAGTAAGTAATAGCTTGGCCCAACGCTATGTGTGTGGAGGTAACGTCCTTGAGGAGGTCACGGCGCAAACAGGAAGTCACTGACCAGGTAGGTCCACTTTCTTTTGCTCTACTAAATTCATGATTTATCTGGTTTTGAAAATTTGAGTCGTCAATGCTACTCTGCTGCTGCATGCTGGGAGGATGATGCATGTCCTTGACCGTGAATAGGCCAAAATCGTAGTGCAGTAGTAATATGTCAGAGCAATATTATTATTACAACGCTTCAGCTTATTGAGTTGAGAAAGTGTCCCAAACAAACTAGGCACAGGATCACTGCTGCTCCCAATTAAATGACGGATGTGCATGTTTACAGGATCGTCGCAAATAAATGATGAAATAATTTTTGTCATTTTTTTACCATTGATTATTATTCATCATAACCCGTTGAGGCCATGGAAATGGATAAACTGTGTATCAAATATATCCTAGTTTTCAAACGCGACATGAGATGATAAGCATTTTGGGGATGGATAACATAAAAATGTGTAAAAATTCTCAAAGTACTTACCAGACCCATTGGCAGCAAAGTGATTGTTTGGCCCCCCTCCACAATAGAGTTTCGGACGCGAGAGGAGGAGGAGGTTAATCGCTCCTTTCTCTAGTTATCTTTTCGACTTGCCCACCACCAAGGTAGATTCTGAAATGAATAAAGCATTCACAGTTATGTAGATGGTCATGGATTACAGTTTTTGCGATATCTTTGACTCTTTAACCTCTTGGCTACAAATTAAACACATAAATTACACACACGTAAAAAATCGTTACACAAACGTGTGTAATTTGGTACGCAATGGAATATTCCCGAAAATTAACTGGCAGCAAGGAGGTTAATCATTGTTGAGGTACTAAGTAGTTGTAAATAAACGATATAAAATAATGTGCATGATAATTACTTTAAACAAATGAGATGAGGAGATCAACCAAAAGAAGAGAATTTATTTCCTTGGCTGCTAAATAGTTCCACTTGTTGACTCGCGACTCAAACTTTTGTTTAACTACTTTAGAATTTGATGCGATGTAAAAAGGGCTCATAAATGTCAGACGAACGAGTCAGGGGTGGGCCAAGCAAGACCGCACCTCTCCATCCCCCTCCGTTCTCTCGGGTGATCTTCGTCGTAAAAATGCAGAAATTTTACGACTCTTCATCTCCTCTCTAATGAGACTTACTTGTAACAACTTGCTTCCTCTGTACACATTTAATTTTAATGGAGGGAATTGAAGATAATGAAAGCCACAATTAATTTTCAGGTGTATCATTATCCTCAAGGAGGAGGTCGTACGTAGTGGTTGGTGGCGATTCGGTTGCGAATTTACGAGGGGGAGAGATATGAGTCGTAAAGTGAAAATGTGGAGGGCACAAGAAAACAGATATTTTACACTGGATGGTGATGACTCTACTTTTTACTTGAAATGAACAACTTATTTCGTACTCCAGGTTTCGCAGCAGACCAAAATCATCCTACGAAGAGATGGAATATAATTGCAGAGTGGAACAAAAAAGGTGTTCATCATCATAAATTTATACGTATGCGACCGTAAACCACACACGCGTAATCGTATCGCGTATATGACGATGGTGGTGGTGGTTCGAGTACTTTCTTCCTCTCACATCAGTGTCATCGTATATCTCGGCGCTTCCGGGGTCAAGCATTAAAAGGAGTTTTATGTATGCAAAGGTCCATTCTTCGTTAGAATATAGGGAGACATTTTTATGCTTTTTGCATTTCTGATATAATTCCCTGTGTATAATTTACAGGGTTTTAGTGCAAGACTTCTTGAGCATTATAGATAAGAAGGGGCATAAAGTTTGTGCATTTTGAGAATAAAGTTGAGCTGTAAAAAGAAGCCACCTGTATCATGCCTACGTAATGAAGTAGGCAAATGTGTGTGTGGTGGGAGAAAATGCCTTTCTCTCATCATCATGATCCACGTGAAATGGAAGGGAGGGTAGCCAAGTGCAGTGGGTAACGACGACGACGACGAAACTGTTGGAGCCTGAGCCAAGGAACGTGGTCCAAGTTGGCCAAGAATTCAAGATCAACATCAACAATTATTGGTTTCGTTATTGGCATGAAAAATTGGATCAAAACTTGACCTAAGTTAACACTACTGGCTGGCAGTTTACTTTATCCTTTGTTGACGAGATGGGAGTGGGTTGAGTGTACTTTACGCATCTCTCTATGCAGCAGCGATCGTGATCCAGCAAATTTCTGGCACAGACCAGTGACCAGACGCAGAGGCTACGCTGTACAGATGCAGCCATACAACCACGCCAAGCCATAACAATTTGTGGAGAAAACCCAAAAATTGTGGAGATTGCTGCCAAACCACAAACTCTGTCTCTCTCTCTCGAAGGAACGGGTTGTATGTTTTGAAACCCCGCTGTCTCTGCCGAACTTGACTTTGTTGATTCCTTATTATAATAGTCATTCACTTTTCTGGGGTGTGTCAAACGTAAACAACTCATATCAGGGGATAAAATGTGTCCTCGTGCAACTCCTTTGTGTCAAGTGGACGATAATTGCACATCGGGTGATGCTTTACGATCTTTATGATAATTTTTTGAATGGTCACCTGGCTGACACTATTTTTCTATCAAGTTGCAACAATGCGGATGAAGCCTGTATTGTAATGTCACCAATTAGCTGGGGACACACTGTGACGACGACGACCCTGGTGCTGGTTGGTGGTTGAAATGAAATGCATACATTGTGAAGCAGGCTATTTTTTGAGGGAGGAGGAGGCGGAGACAGCCATGTGGCCCGCAACAATCTGTAGGAATTAGCTCCACCATTCGCGTTTAGTTACTTTTGCAACCCCTTATTACGCTAATAATGGTAATGAGAGCAAAACATGTACAAATATTTGATAATTTCATGGACCCCACTCATTTCGAGGCTTCAAGCCGGTTTTCAAAATTAAGCTAAAACTATAGCAGTGTACATAATCGGATGAAAATCATTGGTGGGGGAGAAAAACCTGAGGCTACGCGTAAAGACCAGAAGCTCCCACCAGTCAATAATCTCAATAAAATAATAATTCTACAATTGATTATACATTACTCTCCTCAGCCACGGCAACCAACAACTGCTTCTCGAGTATCGTGTGTGTATGGCCTGGAGGATACCTACGTACAAATACATATGCAGATTTGTGTAGGTAGCTTTGCATGAGATTTCTCATCTCAACAGTTTTTTGGTTTTCTCTCTGAATCTAATTGCCACCCCAACAACGAGTACAGACTCTGTTGCTCACCACCATTTAAGATAATTCTTAATTCGCGATAATTACACCTTATTGGCTAACAGATTAAAACTGGAACATCTCAGAGAAGCAGAAGAGGGCGGTTTGGTTGTTGGCGTGAGAATAATCACAGTCATTCCTACTTTGGTCAGATCGTAAGAGATCGTGCAGATCAATCCTAGTTTAATAAGGAGAAATGGATGGACGAATTTCCGTGACCCATCATCCCAGGTAAAAATGTCATTCTCCTCCGTTCATGGTGATGATGATGACCAGCCGAGGAGTGTCCGGGATGGGAAAGCAGTTTAATTCATCTCGCAATAAAATAATGGCGTGACAATTGGAGGTGTGCAGTCGTTGTGCTGGGAAACGTTGGCCAGTCAGTCAGTCTCCCTCTCTCTCTTCTTCCATATATTCCTCTCCTACTTCTTGGAAAGAGGCAATTAATCAAGAAGCGAATTATTGAAGGGTGAGAGAAATAATTGGTCCGGACCCGTTAGTAAAGGGAAATAACAATGTATAGAATGTCGTTGTGGTCCAATGAATCAAGGGGTTCCGGACAGTGGCATTCATATTTTTGCAAATATCTGAAATACTAACTGGTCAGCAACATCACAAATTCCTACAGATTGACTGACTGGCTGAGGAGATGGACAGACGGACGGGTTTTCTTCATTTGGACTCGCAGGTCCATCAACTAATGCAAGAACGCTACAGATGTGAAAGAAGGCAGGGGACTTGGCTGCTACATTCTTCACCGTCGAAATCAATCCCACATCCGAAGGTCTAGTGACCTTTTACTACGTAGGCACACGGAGCAGTAACTCATTCTAGTTTTATGTACGATTAGCCTTCCGTACTCTTATTACTGCCGCACCTAATTGATCTGATTAGTTCATGGGAATGAATGATGACTCGAACGGGTAGGGAAGAAGGAGACTGGACCTCAGCAGACGGAGAAGACCATGTGTCTTGCCAACCAGTTATTTAAATGTGAGAATTTCGTTTCAAATGAAATTAGAGATTGCATTGAAATAACTCAAATCCTGACACCTTCATCCTTTTGAAAACCGGGAGCCGTTTTTGAAGAGTGGCCTTATAAATCTTGAAGCTGCCTCTACGCAAATCCTGAGTTGAAACGAGAGCACATTGTTTGTTGGTCGGACAGTCCAACGGCTTGGCCTTTCTTATTTATTCTCGCTCAGAATGAATGTGCTCATCGTCGTTGCGTGGTTCCTCTGTAATTAGCCCTAGCGCCCAACAGCCCTTGTCTATCACCCGACTCATCTCTCTCTCTGAAATAAAAACGGCTCCTCTTCTCCCTCTCCTTCTGATTGATTCATCTGCTCACCACCAACCAACCACCCTCATAAATCCCTAATTTGGGCTTTTATCCCTCTAAATAAACACGGCAAACAAACTGCGCATTTACTCCACCACCAATTACCCTGATAAACTAATGAATGACTGTACTCAACCAAATTGATGCCCGTTCAAAAACAGCTACAAACTATAAACTTTTCGTCTTGTGAGTTCAAACAGTTCAAATTATCGAGCTCCGCAATGATGACGACGACGACTTTGTTCCAACTTTAATAAGATGTATGTATGCATGTGTACATGTGGTAGTATGTACCCGAAATTTGGTTATGTATTTTGATATGGATGCTTATCTGAATTAAGGGTTTATTATCTGCATACATGTAATTTCTGCTTGGTGAATGAGCAGCGGTTTACTCCTCGGGGGAGATGATACTACACATTTACATACATAGTTGCATAGTTTTATGCATTCGAAATGGTGTTGTTTGTTGGTTGTGCCTGATGTGCAGGTAGGTCACGAATTTTTGGCTCGGACTTGCAAAAATTTCATTGAGAATTATAGCGGATGTGCCGATTGATTACGATAACCAAACACAGACAGGAATGAGCCGCATAAATACGTAAACAGTATCATTGCATTTTTCGCAGGTGAGCGTCTGACCGAGCGTCATGTCTCAGCTAAACCTCATTCAAGGTGCTTATCTGCCAGCCATCAGATTAAAACGGCCCAGACATCCGCTCTTGATCTCGTTCTTCACCAAGTCCATTAATAAATAAGCTTCAAGTATTTTTCACTCCAAGTTACTTAAGATTTGTCGTGCTGTTTTCGCTATTTTTACTTCCTGACACTTTTTTTTAGGCATTTTGATCTTTTGCATGCAGCAAAAGCTACTCGATCCAGTTTGAAAATAAATAAATAGATATAAATGAACTTAAATCTAAATGTACGTTCATCGAGACGGTTTAACTCTTTGCTGCTCCATTACTTTCAAGAAATCAAAACTGGTACTCGAACCCATAAACAATTCAAGGAAACCAGAAGAGCTACAATATTACAAAGTCATTCTCCAC